CAAAAAAAAAAAAAAAAGAAGAAGAAGAAGAGCCAAGGTTTTTTAAGCAATTAAGTTGCTAAGACAACAAATAAGTCAGTGAAGTTAGAAAGTAATAACTTAAAGTTAATTAAAAAGACAATTGAACCGGTAAATATTTACAGTGTACCCTCATAACTAACTATTGTGTTCTGATGAATATATATATTTTTTATAACATCATAAAAACATCTTTTTTAAACGAACTTCAAGATGCAAGGAAACGTTTGGGCAATGTTTGAAACTGAATAGAATGCTGGAATCCTACCATGCATAGAATGTAGTGAAATACTTTGTATCACGTACAAAAAAAAAAAATACATCTTCCAAATTACATTTTTTTTTCATATACTTGAAATGTTATTTTACAGTGATGTTTAACATTTTCTGAAAAGGCCGCGAGCTTGATTATTCTTATTATTTTATACTTAAAAAATAATTTAAAAAATTACGACTTTTCAACTATGCGTGGGACATCATGAAAATAATGGTACCGAAATGCGATAATTGAACAATCTTTTCATGCTACAAGAAAAAAAAACAAAAAAAACAACAAGGATAAATAACTACATTTGTTACATTTCAATGCGGTGAAAAAAAGACTTACTGTACACATCTCAAAACAAGGCTAAAACTGTTAAATGTACATCGTTCACTACATATTTTAGCATAGTTGTGGTTGCAGAAGTTTCTATAAAATAGCACAGACTAGTGAATTTATTTTTATTCTAATTATATTATTTGTTTAAGTTAGTGAACTAATTAATCAAACTATTTGAACTGGTTACAATTTCAAATCATTACGCTCACAAAATTAGACAATACTTTCGGTGAGAATAGCTTTCAAATAGCTCATGGTAAATATTAATTACCATGGAGCAAGATGCAAGAATTAAAATATTTTCACTGTACATATCACAAGCAAAAATTGAGTGCAGAAAACTTCAATGTTTATTTATTCAAAACCGACGTCACTGTTGTTTGATTTTTTTTTGGGGGGAGGGGTAATTTTGATGTTTATTGTCTAAATACTAATGATGACAAGTGATAAACTAGGTTTAAAAACTGGGTTTTATTTTTTAACGTGTGTTTTCGGTTAATCAAAATAACAGACGAGAAAACAGAAAAAAAAATATTTTATTTCTCTAAAAACATTTCTAATAACCATGTCCATCATTAACTTTGTTCCAGAATATAGTATTCTATCATTATTCTCTATTGTAATCGTTGCGTGTTCCTAGAAAGCATTTGACAGATCTGACAAACTTTTAAAACTACTAAGCTGAATTCTTGTTTGCAACGACAAGCCAACAAACAAGCGGTGATGCTTCATCTCATTTTTTACGTCATTTTTCAACTTGTGAAAACTGATATTATTCGAGATACCGGAGGTTTGAAGAGTTGAGTGGACTTTGACTGGTTACCCGACTTTCGATCAATTGCTTCTTCATTAGAAATTATATTACTCTAGGGTGTGAAATATTTTACTGGCTGCTAAAATAAATAGATATTTGAGGTGCTGTGCAGGTGTGTTGTTACATCGAGATGTTTCTTGCTAACCTACATTGTGAGATGCAGCTACCATTCATACCCAAGTACTATAGTAAAACAAGATAACCCTTATCAAATTGAAACTCGTAATACATACTACAAGTGGCGTCTAATACGCACTACTTTGGACTTTATCATCCTAGTATAACTGTACTAGATACGGATTGATTCAAACTGATCTACTCGTTATTTTTATTTTTCGGAAACATAACTTTCAGTCTTACGAAGGCCACTCGAAACTGTATGTGTAAAGTAATGGAGGCGTATCTAGTTATTTCTTCTTCATTGGCTATTTCGAATGTAATAAGAGAGTGAGGCGAGAGGAGACATAGACCAATAGGTGTCATGTCGTCGTCAAAGATCTCTGGGAATGAGAGTATTGGATTACCAAACAAATCGTACATCATTGCAACATTTCCGTGAAGTATATCTGGTTCAAAATATATACTATCTAAATGAAGGCGTGTGTCTCGTGCAAGTTTTTAAAAAAAAGTTGAACGTTATAACACCGAAAAAGCTTTTTCATACATATAAATCAGACTTTTTATATTCCGTAACAAAATTTATCTAAATAAAATTGATCGATAGATACTGACGATGCATTACGAGTAATGATGTAACATGTCAGCCGTTCAGGTACATTCATAATTGTTAAGAATTTAGCAAATTCAAAGGATTGAAAAAAAATAATTCTTAAAACATTTCGAATCTGTCGGCGACTTTGTGGAAGGAAACAAACCACGAATTCAAGGTATCTGCATAAGGCTCCCATAGTCATTGACCCCTGCATTGCTTATTCTAAAATAGGCTATTGTTACTATCAATGACACATTTTCAAGGCCTTGTTTTGTCATGTTACACATGTACACACACAATTTTTCCAGCAAGTAGTATTTAAACTAATTTGAATATGCAGGTAACTGGGTCACGTGGCAACCAAGGCCAAAATAATGTCGTGGTGGAATATATTGTATCAGAACTACATTTTGACATTCCGCAGGGCAGTGTGATGTCACCGAAAATTGATTGCTTTTGGGAAGGGTGTGTGACATCCATATTTGACGCAAAATATTCACACTTAGATGAAAATGTGTTCAGATCAAGGATTTAGAATTTCCAAAAAATGGAGATATCTATTGTACTTAATGGCATTAGAAAACAAAGGAATATTGATCAACATAGGATACCAGGACCATCCAGAAACAGACCTGCAACAAGTCGTACCCTAGCCGCGGTAAGCAAAGTGCGGCGTCTCTTAAAGAGGTGAGAATCCACGAATACAAAAGGTCAGTGACAAAAAGCGTCCACGTGCATCAGGCAACAGTATGCAATGTAATCATGAGACATAATCAAGAAGGATCACAAATCACGTGTACATAAGGGAAGGAAGACTAACTACAGAAAATTATATGCACTGTGTCTATAGCCCGGGGAAAATGGCAGCATAATCGTAATAAGTGTGCGTTATAAGAGTGAAGATCAAATCTCTACAGCCTGTTAATTCAACTTAAGGGGCAATTATAGCTATGCGCAGATAAAACCTATCGAATGAATCGAATAGTTACATGTTAGGGAATGACTCTTAGTTCGTAATTATGAATTTATTACAAAATGCTCAGAAGAAGCTCCGTAATATTAGAGTTATTTTTGTTTTGCTTTTAAGTCTGCGTTTAATGGTTATTCCTCCTTTTTGATACAAATATTTATCCAAGATAAAAAAACAACAACTGCAAATCGTGTTCAGCGGCCGATCTTATTGGCTGTTCGGCGTTTGCGTGAGTTGGATCGTCCCTACTTTTAAGATTGACTTTCAAATTTATATTTTATCTACCAAGGACTGCAAACCAATTTCGGTAAAACGGGTGAAATAATGTTGAATTTTACTTAGGATGAAACTTAAGTATCTATCTTAAAAAAGGTTTGTTTTCGATATTCACACAAAGCTGCACAAAGATAATCCGTACTAGTCGTCCTTAATTTTGAACTGATAAACTAAAGAATAGGCAGATAATCAACAGCACCAACCGCCAACTCTTATGTTACGCTAGTCGAATAGTGGGATTTGACCGTCACTCTTATAATGCATCTGCAGCCTCAAAGAGCGGGGCTCGATTTTGAGGCAAGAGAATGCGAACATTGGACCTTCATTCACAGTCAAGCGCGCTAACCAATACGCCATATTCGAACCTTATAAACTGTTAGGGAGTCCACTAGAATTACAATTTTTAGTAGTTTTTTTTTATTTAAGATTGTATCATAAGTCTAATTTTTCTTTCTTTTTCTCAAAAAAGTATTTTCACAAATACTTGAGTGAAACCAAACTTTAAAGTCAATCATAAACAGGAAATAATAATTATATATATATATTTAAAGAAAACTTCAATATTAGTTACAACGCTTTCCTTTAGGATAGGTTTTATGGAATCACAAAATTTATACTATTGTTAACACTAAAATTGTTTTAGCAACACTATATCTAGACAAAATTTATACTATTGTTAACACTAAAATTGTTTTAGCAACACTATATCTAGACAAAATTTATACTATTGTTAACACTAAAATTGTTTTAGCAACACTATATCTAGAC